TTAGAGGTGGAGTCCCTGGGCTGTGGGTGGCCCGGAATGCTGTGAGTGTCCTGGTCAGGGGAAACTAGACACTCACGCAGAGTCCAGGGAGCCCTGCAAGAAGACTGTTTTCTATCTCCCGTTAGTGAGGAAACTCCTCGAAGGGTTGTCATGGCTGGTGGAGGGGGGAACATGCCAGGCTGGGGGCCGTTTGGGAGGTGGCATGAAGAACATGGACTCTGGAGCCAGCCAGCCTGGCTCCAGGACTTCCTAGCTGTGGACCTCGGGCAGGTTACCTAACCTCTCTGCCCTTCATTTTCCTCATCTATCAAATGGACATCATAATAGTGCTCAATTCATACAGCTATTATGAGGATTAAAAACCTTAACATAAAGAGCTTAAGTCAGCAAGCACTCAACACGTGTTAGTTAAACAAAAAAACACCATCAACAAGACTTGACCGGACATGGAGATCCCGAAGGCCTGAAGCCCTGCAGACTCCCACCTGGATGGGAACATCCTGGGCTGACGGCCTTGGGAAGAGGCCCCTGGGAACTCCCATAGTTGCTGAGTCACCTGCTGACTCGGGTTGAAGGCCTTTGGGTTGCTTTACCTGCTCTCATCCCTGCCCACCCAGCTAGGCGCTGACACTGTGGAGCTTGCTGCGAACCACCAGGCAGCAAACCAGGGCCCAACTCTCCTGCTTCAGAGTGGAGCGTCAGTCTTTGCTCAGCCTCGGTTTCCTCATCTGTAAAGTGGGCAGAGGGGCACCTGTGCTGCTCTGCGCCCATGGCTCTGGGGAGAATCAATAGGGAAATGCTTTATCAGGTCAAGTGACATGCACCTGTGAGGAGCTGTCCTGAGCTAGTCGCCTCCCCTTCCCTTCTCAGAAGAGCTAGGAGGTAGCTACATCCCAGATACCAAGCCCGGAGGAGGGAGAGTATCTGTCTTCAGGGGATTCAGTTGTGTGGGCTCTCTCCACAGTGTAGAGAGCAGAGCCCAGAGTGGGCTCTCCTCACCCCCTTCCTGGCTGTGGAACCCCAGGCACTGCCCTCCCCTCACCGCGGAGCTCCAAGGCAGGGAAGGAAAGGGTACCACAGAATCCTTGCTGAAGTTCAGGCTCAGTGTCGGCCAGCCTGGAGATGGAGGGCAGGTCCAGGCAGCCTCCATCGAAAGCCCTGGGCCAGCAGAGTGACTGGAGCTCCTGGCAGACTCAGCAGGAGTTCTGCAGAACACCTTAGATGAAGTTTACTTTGCTGGAGCAGTCAGTCCTGCTCCTGGGCATCCATCCAAAGATGTTGTCACACTGGCCCTTAAGAACAGATGGAGGCCACCTGGGTATCCCTCACTAGCAGAGTAGAGAGGTGGGGTGTGGTGGGGACACAGGATGGTGCTCTAGGCAGGAGTCCAAAGCAAACGGTTTAGACGTTCCTGGGACCTCATGGATGGATTGTGAAACATAGTTTGGTCAACGGCACTGTTAGTGTTGCGTCCCATCCCCCTCCCCACTGACTTCCTGAAGGCTGGTTCCAGGGTGGGGGCAGTGAGGACCCGAGATGCGCCTTCCTAGAAAGTAAGCAAGTGCATCAGAAAGTGCTGGGGGCACGTCAGAGACTAGAGCCAGATTGAAGGGGCGCCTGCTGGCCAACTGGGGCAATTTGAGCACCAAAATACTCCAATACGATAAGGAACTGTGAAACATAGGAGTCTACGTTGATAATCAGTAGATGAGTGGGAGAGGAGGGAGGGCTCTTGCTTAGAGTGAAATACTGGGGTTGGGAAATCTTCATTTTGCAACCATCATGAAGATCAGATCAGGCAAGCCTCCTCCGTGGGTGTTAAATCTAGGGGCGATGGATGCTAAATTTTGATGAGGAGCAGGATATTTGCATGCTCTTAAAGTGTGTCCCGACAGACTTCTTGTTAGTTGCAAAGGAGGAAAAAGAACAGTAATTATATGGTGGAGAAATCAGGTAACCCTGGACTGGGTGAAGAAAATTAACGTCACTTATGAGGGACAGATGGACACCATGTATCTCCGGATGCGACACCCCAAGAAGAACAAGCCACCTGCACAGTGTTTCAGCTGCGGATGCATAATCCCCATCTAATCCTGAGGAAACACCAGACAAACACAAAACAAGGGACTCTATCAAAAAGACAGGGGTAATGGCGTGACATTCTTCCAAAATGTCAACATCATAAAAGACAAAGGAACCCAGAGAGTCATGACAACTAAATGCAGTACCTGACCCTCCACTGGATCCTGTGCTGGACTAGGGGATGCTAAAAAGGACATTTTTAGGTCACCTGACAATGCTGAAATATGGGCCATATGTTAGATAAGCATTCTGTCAATGTAATTTATGAAATCGATAACTGTGGTTATGTAAGAGAATGTACCTATCCTTTTTTTTTTTTTTGGTGAGGAAGATTGGCCCTGAGCTAACATCTGTTCCTAATGATCCTCTTTTTGCTTGAGGAAGATTGTCACTGAGCTAACATCCATGCCAATCTTACTCTATCTTGTACGTGGGATGCCACCACAGTGTGGCTTGATGAGCCGTGTGTAGGTCTGCACCCAGGATCTGAACCCATGAACCCTGGGCCACCAAAGTGGAACATGCAAACTTAACCACCATGCCACTGGGCTGGCCCCCTAGAGAATGCCCTATTGTTAGGAAAGACACAATGAAGTAGGGATGAAGGACCTTGATATATGCATATTACCCTCAAATAATTCAAAAAACAATCGTGTGTGTGGAAACAGAGCGCACTCGTGCACAAACAATAAAGCAGAGGGTAAAATGTTAACAATTGGTGAATCTTGGTAAAGGGTTTATGGTGTTCTTTGTACTGTTCTTCCTTTGTAACTTTTTATAAGTTAGAAATTATTTACAAATAAAAAGGTAAAAAGAAAATGATAACTTGAGACAATAATATTCAAAATGTCCTAAGTAAACAATTCTTACCCTGAAGGTCACATACTAGCCGTTCACCAGACACGTACCAGATGGTTCCACTTATATTAAGTTCAGGAATAGGCCAGATGAATCAATGATGAGAAAAATCAGGGGTATAAACTGGGAAGAGAAGAAGGGACCCCTGTGGGCATTCTTGGCACGTTCCAGTCGATCTGGACGGAGGTCCCCCAGTGCAGACATGTGCACACCTCCTTGCACGGTAAGCATTATACTGTCTGTGTATCTCCAAAACAATTTAGTGGTGCTTAGTGAAAAAACACAGAAATAGAATGAGATCTATAGCACAATACCATTTACCTAAGCTAAAAATATGTGCATAATGTGCACCAACGTGGTCCAAAATTTAAAACAAAACAACCACAAAAACAAAAACTCCTCACCTCTGCCCAGCACACGGTGTCCTGGAGGCAGGAGCTGGCTCTCGCCATTACTGACAGCCTGCGACTGTGCCAGCTCGGAGGGGTGAGGCCCTGGCCCTGTCCTGGGCTAGGGTGGGAGGTCATATGGGATCTGGGCTGCTCACAGAGTGGGATCACGGGGGGCGAACACAGCCAGAGCTTCTGCGGGGACAGCGCTTGCATCCAGGGCAGCACAGCCCTGGGCCTGGATGGTATAGCATTGGGCTGATTATCAGCTGCCTACTGTGTGTCCAGACACTGTTCTGAGTGCTTTGTGTTAACTCCTCTGATCCTTACAACAACCCCATTGGATAAGTGCTATTATTTCCCCCATTTCACCAATGAGGAAACTGAGTCACAGGAAGTTTGATTAATTGGCCTAACGATACACAGCTAGAAAATGGCTGAGCTGGAATTTGAACCCAGGTGGTCTGGATCACTCTCTAAACCACAGTATGCACCCTCCTAAGTAGAGACTTCCCTATATGGTGGTCTAAAATGGGGAACAGAAAAACAGATCAGGTTGTCCCACAGGGGTCCTGGGCCCAGGCGGGGGGCCTGGCTCCCTGAGCTGAGGGGTCCTACCATCCTTGGTGTTCCAAACTGCCCGCAGGGCTGGGCCCCTTCTAGATGCCATTGATACAGCTTCCAGTCCCCCTGCTCCCTGCTTTCTCTGGCATGCTGCCGCATGCTTTTGCTCACCAACCTCGAACGCCCCTTCCCCTCATTCATATCCTGCCCACCCCTCAAGTCCGAGCACAGCTGCCCCCTCTGTGTCCAGGCTGGCTGCTCCCTCCCTGAGCTCCTACAGTCTTTTTGAGAACATGTGTTCCAGCTTGTGCTCAGCTAATTACAAGCTGGTTGTCTTAGGCAAGTTGACTTAACTTCTCTGGGCCTCAGTTTCCTTTAATAATATTATCTAATATTCACTGAGTACTGTGTGGAGTTAACCACTTTAAAGTGTACAATTCAGTGGCATTTAGTACATTCACAATGATCTGCAACCATCGCTTCTATCTCATTCCAAAACACTTTCATCACCCCGTCCACATTAGGCAGTCACCCTCTATTCCCACCCCCCGCGGCCCCTGCAACCACTAATCTTTCTGTCTCTATGGATTTGCCTATACTGGACTTTTCATGTAAATGGAATCATGCAGTATGTGACCTTTTGCATCTGGCTTCTTTCACTCAGCATGTTTTTGAGATTCATCCAAGTTGTAATATGTGTCAGCGCTCCATCCCTTTTCATGTCTGAATAATATTCCCTTCTGTGGATGTACCACATTTGGTTTACCCACTTCTCCGTTGATGGACATTTGGCTATGGCGAATCTTGCTGCTGTGAATATTTGTGCACAAGCATTTGAGGACCTGTTTTCAATTCTTTCGGTTCTTCCCAGGAGTGGAATTGCTGGGATAAATGGCAATCCAAAAGTTTAACTTTATTTTGGGGGGTGCTTTCCTGCCTGTGTTGTAATGCCCTGGGGGGCCCTGACAGCCTTTCGCGCCGGGCTGGGCGCCAGCAGCTGGGCCCACCGTGCAGGGAGTGCCTCTCCAGCAGGGTGAGCTTCTCCCTGTTCCCTCGTCCTTCTTCTCTGCCTGCCTGGCCCCCTAACCTGTCCTCTCTCCCCAGCAGATGTGCCCGTGGAGAAGCTGGCCGCCATGCCCGCCTTGCGCAGCATCAACCTCCGTTTCAACCCGCTGAATGCCGAGGTGCGCGTCATTGCGCCACCGCTCATCAAGTTTGACATGCTCATGTCTCCAGAGGGCGCTCGGGCACCCCCACCGTAGGCCTGTCTCCTCCTGCCCACCCACCAAGGGACAGAGGCCACCTGGCCTGACACCCTGAGGGGAGGGTGTCCCTAGGCCCATGGGAGGCCAAGCTTGGGGGACTGGGGGTGGGTGGGCGGAACAGTGCGTGGTGGGGGGGTGCGGCCAGTCCAGGATAGACAGCTTAGAGCAGTAGCAGGCCCTGGAAGGCCCAGAGAGAGGAGGCGCGGTGGGGGCTGGAGCCCAGACTCCAGGCACTCACAGCTTCCGTGCAAACTTGGGCAGACCCCCCACCCTCTCTGAGCCTTGTTATTTGGGAAAAGGGGTGGGGGGGGGAACCTTTGCCTCCTTTGGGCTCCTTGGAGGCTTTTTAGGCAAAACATGCCTCCAAGTTACCCTCCAATCCTCGGGCACCTTCTGAGCCCACAGATGAGCATCGCGGAGCATTTTCTGGGCGCCTGTGGGTTTGAGGCCTAGTTTCTAGTGCTGAGAGCCAGTCGCTGCCCTGAGAGGCATAGAAGACAACCTCCATCTATTCATTGCTTCCTGAGAACCAGCCTGGATGAGGCCCTTCCCAGGGCCCTGTGGGTCTCTAGATTGGTGGGAAAGCTGTGGAGAGTGTGGCCTGGCGCTGCAGCAGGCTGAGAACATTTACATAGGAGCCCAAGGCCCAGCAGGCCGAGAGACCAGGGAACACATCAAGTCAGCTCTGTCCTTCCTCATGATGTCAGTGGGGTCAGAAGTTCTGAGTGCTCCTGGGGACGGACCAGGTGTGCCTGGCATCAACCCTTGAGCCGCAGGAGAAGTGGCCGGAGAGAAACAAAGCCACGTGTGCCTGTGGCTCTGGTCTCGGGTGATTGGGTGGCCACCGCCACCACACTCTCCTTCTGGCTGCCTTATCATTGGTCCATCTCGGGACAGAAGGCACCACGGACCACGGAATTTGTGATCAGCCAGCTCCCAGGCCACCACCCAAAGCCCTGCTGACCTAGTCACTTCTAAGCCCTCAGCCTGGAGTCTAGGATGTGACCAACCTTCCCTGTTTGCCCAGGACTGAGGGGTTCCCAGGACATGGAACTTTCACTGCTAACACTGGGACAATACCAGCAAACAGGGACAACTGGTCCCCCTGCCAGGTGGGGGCCTGGGGCTCTTGCTTTATGACAACGTCTGTGGTTTGTAGAACCCTTGACCTCTTGATCCCCAGGTATCTACCCCCCACCTTCTGATCTGTGGAGCAAGCAGGCTCAGAGTCCAGAGCCCAGCTTGTCTGGACCTTGGTCTTGATCTATGGGAGACACCTGAGGCCCCATGACTTGGACAAGCCAGGCCACCCACATCCTATGTCCATGGACTGGTAGCCACTCTTCTACTCCTAGGATTAAGCTGTTCAGAGCTGAGAGCACTGGCCCTTTCTCAGAATACTCCCATTCCCTTTATCCCAGTCCTGGGGCCTGCCCCTGCCCAGGCGTCCTGTCTCTTGGCAAGAAGCTGACAGCTTGGGACCATTGTTGGTTCCTCACTGAGCACTTAGCGTTCCGAGAGATGCTGTGTTCCCTCTGCTTATCTCACAAGGCCTGGTTGGCCAAGCTCTGGGAAAGTGGTTCTCCAGGGCTGCAGAATTCAGCTGTGGACACTGGGGACAAGTTGGGGCTGCAGTAGTCCAGGCTGGCCTTGCCCCACCCACCCTGTGTCCTGGAGTGCAGTTTCTCCTTGTGGAAGAAGGGGTGCACTTTTCTGATACGCACAAAGGCATTGTGTGGCCAGAGCCTTGCAACTCAAAGTGTGGTCTGTGGACCAGCAGTATTGGCATCCGTGGGAGCTTGTTAGAAATGCAGAATCCCAGGCCCCATCGCAGACCTCCGGAATCAGAACCTACATTTCCATGAGATCCCAGGTGACTCCTGCAAGCACTTTACAGTTTGAGAGGCAAGGGCCAGGGGGCGACCCTGGGGATGTCCTCAGAGTGGAGGGTGAAAGTTCTCAACTCTCCCCCTGCCATCCCCAGGGCTCTGAGTCTGTGCTCCCCCTCCCTACACCAGCCCCCGGAAACCCTGGGCTTCTTAGAACTTTTCAGAGTCTTCATGGCACTTCCAGCGAAGGGAGTGACCGGCGGTCCCCAGGAAATGGGGGTCAGGTGTGCCTGGCCCTGTGGCCACTGCCTTTCTGGTTAACCTCTGCATGCCAAGTTCCTGCTTCCCCAGGTCCTCACCTCAGGCCTTGGGAGGGGTTGCTTCTAGAAGCTGTTTTCTTTCTGCTTGGCCAGTTTGCCCTTGCCTCTCTGGGAAAGCTGGGGCAGTCAGAGAAGCCCCAAATCAGAGCCCACCGTGTGAATGAGCCCTTAGCTTCAGTCTGCAATAAAGAGTGCACTGGTTTCCTCTGCCTGGTTGGCGACTGACTCATTCTCACTGCACAGACCTCCCGTAGCCTGGGTGTCAACCCGCCCACCTGGGAAGAGGAGGGACTGCCCCTCTTGAAAGCGTGAGGTAAAGAAAGCCATTCAAGGTGTTCCTCAGAATATTCACGGATGGGCGCAGGCTGCAGCCACACAGGATTGACATGTGCCCTAACACAGTGCTGCTGCAGGGCAGCCGGACGTCAGCCCTGGGGGAGGCCCGGACACCTGGGAAAGGACAAAGGGACCCACTGTCCCCACATTTTTCCTTTATTGATGGGAGAAATTACACTCTTGGTGGTTCATTCTGCAGGGTCTGTGCTTCCCAAAGAGGAGTCTCTGGACCAGCGGCATCGACATCACCAGGGAGCTAGTGAGACATGCACATTTCTGGCCCCACCCTGTATCTAGAACGAGACACTCTAGGGGTGTGGCCCAGCACTGTTTTAACAAGCCCCCAGCTGTTCTGATGCAAGTGAGAAACCGCTTCCGGGTACACACTTAAAGTCAATCTTTGTTTTCTAAATCAGAAAGGCCAACCTGAATTTGCCTTGAGTTTTAGCCCAGACCCTGCATTATTTTTATTTAACAAATACATACGGAGCTCACTGGGTACCAGGCAGTGTCTAAGCGTGTTATAGATGTTAACTCCTTTAATCCCTGTGACGTCCTAGCCAGCTCTCTGAGTTGGACAAATCCCTTTCTCCAGGCCCTGTTTCTGTCTGTAAGGTGAAGGGGCTGCACCGGGAGATCCTCGAGGGCCTTTCTGGAACTCGCATGGTCACTATTTCTCCGATTCGGGGGCCCTGCCATAACTGTCCCCTGAGCCTGGACTCAGGCTGCTGCCCGCCCCCACCCAAAGGTCAGACGGAGGACTCCCATCTGACTCTGTCTCTTCTTGTCGAATGCTGACTCAAATATACCATCAGATCGCCCTATTGGTCCGTCAGAACTGAGCCGACTGCTCGCCGAAGGGAGAGCTTTGCCCGAGTCTGAGGAGCGTGTCGGCGCCCGGAGGGCAGAGTCTTGGTGGATTTCGGGTCTGGTTTCAGGTGGGGCTCTCAGTGCAAGGGAAGACACCTCGACTGGGACTGAGTGCAGATCATGATATAGTTTAGGATCGGTGGACACAACAAGGGGTATGTTGAGGGGAACGGTTGATCTTAAGGTGTAAATTCTCTTTTTATGCTGTTTGCTGAAGAGTTGAGCAGTTTGGTGTTCCTTTAAATGATTCTTTTGGGAATCTCCTAGAATGAACAATAAAATGATTTACAATTTACTTCCTGGGCAAGATTTTCCTGGAATAGTAGTACCGTCATGTTGAAGAAGATGGATGAATAACCAAGTCTTATTAATGTAGACAGTAGGCTGTGTGGGGTTGGAGGGGTTTTTCTTTCTTTGAGATATAATTGACACATGACATTATATTAGTTTCAGGTGTGCAACATAATGATTCAATATATGTATGTATTGCAAAATGATCACAATACCTCTAGTTAACATCCCTCACCAACATAGACAGCTTTGATTCTCAGTCTCCCCAGTACCATGTTGGACCCTAGACCCTTACTTTGGAGCTTCCCTTTACGTGAAATGTGTCTGTCCCTTCTCAGAAAGCCAGCCCTGGGCTGGGGAGCAGTTCCTGGAAGGGTGAGCATTGGCAGCCGCCCCAGAAGGCCTGGCCAGAGCCTGGGAGAGGTGCCAAGGCCTGGGAGATGACGTGACTCAGGGCATGGACTGGGCCGGGCCCAGGAGCAGCCAGACCTTGCTGTGGATGCGTGTCTCAGGGCCAGGTGGTGCAGAACCATTCCTCCCAAAAGGGACCCTCTGCTTTAGGTCCAAGCAAGAGCACTCTGTGAGCTCCTACTGTTTATCAGGACTGGGCAGGCACTGTATGATTTCTCATTTACTATTAGCAACACTCCTCTTGGTGCCCACTCTGCAGATGAGGCAGGAGGCTTAGTTAGGGGTCCACATGTGGCTAGGAAGGAGCAGAGCTGGGGTTTGAACTGGAGGCTGGCTTGGATGGAAGAATCAATCACTTTTTCCAACTCGCACCTTCCTTCTCCCATCGCATTCCTGTAAAGAGGCCTCTCTGAGCCTTGCTTTTCTCATCTATGAAATGGGTTCTAACCTGCCTTCCCTGATGTCGTGGGGGTTAACAGCAGAGGGTGGAGGAAAGTGGCCCTTGGTGGACAGCAGTGTGTCCATTTCACCTACCTGAGAATGTCCTCACCCATCTGCTTACGCCTGCCGTGTGTGGGCCCAGCCTATGGTGCCCTGACTAGAACCTCGCCTCCCCAGGCAGTGCAGAGCTGCCTGTCATACCTTTCTGGAGCACATCTGGATGCTGATGGGAGATTTACTCCCACAGGGAGTAAGAAGACCCACAGCCCACCGCTCATCCCATCTTCACAGTTCAGGAATCTATGAAGCTCCTGTCAGGCCTCAAGGACCACTGAAGACAGGATGATAAGGCATTCGACGCCTTGGCCAGGAGCCAGCTGGGGCTCATGCTACTCTGTGTACCTCCAACTTCTTACAGCCAAGGGACCTGTGTACCCTCTTTCCTGTAGACGGGAAGTACTTAAATTAGGGTATCTTCAAGGGTGGGACCTGCAGGACTGCCACATTGCACAACTCTGATGGGTGTCATTCACAATGCATTCCAGCTGATTGGCACCTGTTACGTGGGAAACAATGTGAATGGGCCCCTAGAGTTGTGCAAGAGGTGGTGCTGGATCTCTGGACCATCAACGAGAGTCAATCACTGGAGTGCTTTAAGAAGCACATTCCCCAGCCCACCTGAGCCCCAGTAAACCAAACTCAAAGCAAGGCCCACACCTCTGCACCTTAAGTCTCTATTTCTCCTCCACACAGCACCCAGAGGGGCCTTTTAAATCCTAAGTCACTCGTCTGCCCCAAGTCCCACAGTGGCTCTCCACTGCACTTCAATGTGAAGCCAAGTCCTTACAATGGTCTGCAAGGCCTGCCTTCTTCCTGTTACTTTCATCCTTCAAGCTTTCCTTTAACACCCAGGTGTGCTCATGCCTCAGGGCCTTTGCATCCCACCAGGAAAGTTTGCTTCCAAACGACTAACAAGCAGTAGGAAGTCTTCCCCACTTTGGTCTTCCCATCCCTCCCAAGCCATGATATTGTGGCTGGGCCTTTTCCTAAGTGGAGTGGCCAAAAGCCAGAAGGCATGACCTGAGGGAAGATGTGCAGCCCTCCGATCCCCCCCACTAGCCTGCTACTGTGCCTGAAGTCCATCAGTATGAGAGCTTTGCTTCTGGTTAAGCATTGTCCTCTTCTTACCACATATAATCATAGGTTCTCTACCCACCACACAAGAGGGGCCAAATAAAAACTGGAACACCAGACTTATGGCAAGGAAAGGTTTTTATTTCGGGTGACATAAGCCAGGAGACAAGAGTGAGCCCTCAAATTTGTCCCATCTCCCTGAAATATGGAGGCCAGGGGTTTAAAGGTTGCAAGGAATGTGTCTGCTTGTGGGGAGGGGGAGCCTGTGGCCTTGCTGGTCAGCACTTTCCCACCAGCCTGCATTTGGCTGTGTGAGGCTGTTTGCAAGGAGAAAGATGGTGAGATAAAGGAATTTGCAGGTAGGTGTCCTTGGTTGTCTGTCTCCATGGTGGCTAGTGGATTCTGGTGCCAGGAAGCCAAGGAGTAAGCAGGGAAAGGGCATGAGTGCTTTGGTTTTAACCCCGTATATGCTGAGTTTAATGTAGGGGAACCAATATCAGGCCAGTATCAATTTCCCCCTATTTTATGTTCCTTCCTCAGTCTTCAGGGATTTGGGGTGACAACTTCTCTAGCTTCTTCCTGCTGAATCAGAGCATAGGTTGCTCTATCTCAATGAACCAGTCTTTTAATAAGACAGTGATGCAGGTGGGCTCCCAAAATTAGGCCTGTACTGCATAAGTAAGTAGCCAGGTATTTCATAAGTGTTTCTAGAGAAACAAAAAGAAAAAACAAGGTTAATTGTTGGAGCAAATTATAAACCAGTTCCTGAGCCCAGGGGGCAGCGAATCGAAAATATTTCTAGAAGTCACAGTTAAAGCATTTTTTGCCGTTTGAAATGTCTCTGATGGTGTCATTGGGTGTTCAGGTATCTTTCTGAGTGGCTTACATAGTAGCAGGCATGAATCCCTCTTAAGTTTATATTAAGATGTCCAGCTTTAGTTTGCAGGGCTTCAGGGAAAAAAACAAAGAGCAAGTTCAATTTTCAATGATTCTGAATGAAAATGATGGAAAAATTGAAAATGTTAGTTTAGAGATCTGTAGCCAGATATTTCAGAAGACTAGATGAATTCAGGATCCAGTCCAGTTAACAGATATAAACCAAAACTTCAGACAATTAACAGAACTAGAATCTAATATCCATGAATGTGTATTATAGTTTTTATTGAAACATAATTTTTCTCTCTAAAATCACCCTCATTTTTACTAAAGATATCCAAATTAAGACCCCATTGGTTTACAAAATAAGTTTAGTTTTAATAAACTTGGCTCAATTATTTACATAAGTATAGCAAGAATAGCAATTGATCATATAGGCTCTTTTAAATCTGCTTTGCTGAAAGTTTTTATAAGGAATCTCAGGTTGAACTTTAAAGGCCAGGAAAACCAGACCAAGAGCTTGTCGTCAGACTCTGCCTGTAATATCTACAGATTTGGGTGACTTTCTCTCTTCTGAGGTCCTCAAAATATTGAGGTTCCTTGCACCTGCCAGATAAGTAACCTTCTTTACTTACCCAGGATGATTGATGGGAACACGTGAGCAAGATACCAGGCCAATATTTTCAAGTCCAGCTGCTGGACTGCTTCCCAGGAAATCCCAGCCAGCCTGGAGCTGCAGAGCCATAGGCGAGAGCCTCCTGACTGGCTTGCCAAATTGTTACCACATATAATGATAGGTTCTTTAACCGCCACACAAGAGGGGCCATATAAAAACTGGAACAGCCAGGAGACAAGAATTAGCCCTCAAATTTGTCCCATCTCCCTGAAAGATGGGAGGCCAGGGGTTTTAAAGGTTGCAAGGAATGCAGCTGCTCATAGGGTAGGGGAGCCTGTGGCCTTGCTGGTTGGTGATATCCCGCCAGCCTGCACTTAGCCTTGTGAGGCTGTTTGAAGGGAGGAGGATGGCAAGATACAGAAATCTGCAGGTGGGTATCCTTGGTTGTCTGCCTCCGTGGTGGCTAGTGGATTCTGGTGCCAGGAAGCCAAGGAGTAAGTAGGAAAAGGGTATGAGTGCTTTGATTTTAACCCCACATATACTGAGTTTAATGTAGGGGAGCCAAAATCAGGGCTGGTATCACTCTCCCTGTGACCTTATTCCAACCCTGTCAGGATTGCAAAGGGGATTCCTATAGACAAAGCTGAGAGGTTGGACCAGACCCTTTCCTCTCAGAGTGTGGTCCTCAGATGAGCAGCATCAACAATACCCAGGGCCATGTTAGATCTGCAGAGGCTAGGTCCCTCCCCAGGCCTTCTGAATCAGAATCTGCATTTTAACAAGCCCCCCATGTGATCCAGGGGCATGTTAAAGTTTGAGAGGCATGGCATTCTGTGACTTTAAGGTCCCTCTCACCTTCTCAAAGTCTCTGTGATAGGCAGTGCCAAAGTATAACTTTGAGAAGCTAAAAACATGAATCTTGTAAATAGAAGATGAACATGTATCAAAGATTTTATTCAACTCATTAATTAATGAGGGAACCAATAAGATAGTAAAGCTGTTTCCCAGAGCATTTGAAGAACTGGAGTTATCATAGTCCTTAAAAAACAGTATTGGAATAAGATTGCTGTTACATACAACACTGATCAATGTCCTATAGGATAATAAATAGTCAACTTTAGAGTCGACTTTTTACTGGACACAAATCCACAAATTAACATGTAACTTCACAGAGTCCCTTAATTAACGGTAACTAACAAAACCACAGTGGTACGTTCTTGTGGGCAACCTGTGGAACAGTGCTTCATGCGTGCAGCTATCATCTTGGCCTCACTTCTAGGTTTTAAGTAATATTTCCTAAAAAATTCCCCTGGGAGGGCATTATTATCCCTGGGACCAAGTTGATCATCTGCTGTGTGTTTCTGTTAAATGACTGGGGCCACCCAAAGCTTGAGGCAAAGGAAAGAACCAGAGGTGCAAAAAGGAGTAGAGAAGGAGAAAAGCATCTGAAATAAAAATATGTACTAGCAGCTTACCCTGTGTCTGTGACTATGCTAAGTGCCTTGCATTTCTTTTCTTATTTAATC